AATTCAACATATGATTGAAACCGTTATTGCACTATATTACTATCAGCTTATTTATTATTAAGATATTTTTTAAGTTTTTAAATTTTTGCCAGCTATATTTAAAAAAAAATATATAGCTGCCACCTCCTAATGTGTTTTATATGATAAAAAAACACTGGTTTTAAAACTTTTTTGAAGAAAAATCATTTTTGGAGTCCCTTAAACATATAAAGAGTTCCTATTATTATCAATTTAAAAAATCTTCAAAAGTGTATCTTGACATTTTGGCTCAAATTAAGTAAAATCATGAAATTTCATATATGAATAAAATATTGCCAAAAATTGGTTAAAATGGACATTTTTCTTTTTTAGTTAATAAAATTAATTTTTTATGGTGTTAAATCTAACATTAAAATTTGCATATAATTTTGCTTCATTTAAGACTCAACATGATACACTCAAATAAAACATAATAAGTTTCTAAATAAATAAAACATAACAAGTTCCTAAGGGTTATGAGGGTGTCATCAAAAAAATTTTTAGTCAAAAAATTTTAAAAAACAGTTTTTTTTTTACATGAAATGCAAATATTTTTTCCCAGTAAAATTTTTTGCAAGTAATATAAAAAATTAAGTAACTAAAGACCTGCTTGTTATAATACAAGTAGTTTTTTTTAACTGTATTAGTGCATATATTTGCATTTATAAACTGTTTAAATGCATATATTTGCATATTTATACTTAAAAATATGATATATTTAACACCATAAAAAATGAATTTTGTTAACTAAAAAAGAAAAATATCCCTTATTACCAATTTTTGGCAATATTTTTTTTGAAATTTTCATAAAACTTTGTTCAGTTGAGATCCATTATAATATAATTTATACATAATACTTATGATATGACCATTATGATATAATTTATACATAATACACTTATATAACTTTTTTTTATAATTATTAGGAACTTGTTATGTTCCCAATAATTATAAAAAAAAAATAAGGGTCTTGAGGGAGTCATCAAAATTTTTTTTTTTTTTTAAATATTTTTAAAAACCAGTTGTTTTTTATTGTATGAAACACATTAAGCATATACTGTTCAAAAAAGTTTTTTTTGGGAAAATCCTATTAAATGATAATATTTTTTTTAACTTTAGATAAATATGTTTTATATTGATGATATGTTTCTTGCTATTGCTTCAACTTTATTTCAATATAAAAACTTACTTTTACTGTTATTATGACTTTTTCGTAATATATTGAAGTGTTTTTTACTTTATAATTTTTATTACTATATATATATATATATATATATATATATATATATATATATATATATATATATATATATATATATATATATATATATATATATATATATATATATATATATATATATATATATATATATATATATATATATATATATATATATATATATATATATATATATATATATATATATATATATAGTCAGAAAAATAGTAAATAACAAAATAATTAATGAAATTGCTCATATATAAGGAAATAGTCATATATATAAGTCAGATATTTAAGGAAATAGTATAACAGTAAAAACCAATTTTTATATGGAAAAAAAGTTGAAGCAATGACCAGAAAAATATCATACATATAAAACATATTTATCTGAAGTTTAAAAAAAAAAGTTATTGAAATCCTACAGTCAGATTTTTAGAAAAATGGTTTCAAATAAATAAACAAATCTATGATTTACACTCAAGAAGTATTAAGTAAAAATACAGTTTTAGCGCGCAAAGATTTTTGTTGCCTCTATTTATTTATATTTTTGTGAAATTTTTGTATTATTTTATTGATTTACATTAAAAATAAGGCTATATCATTGGCTTTTCAGAAATTAATTAACAAATAAACTGTTGCCATATAAAATATTCTCTGTAGTTAAGAACCGTAGCCATTTTAAAAGTTCAAAAGGTTTTTGTATTTTCTTACGCATGCGTACCTAAACAGCGCATTTTACTTATTTCTAAACGACCGTGACCTTACCGCGAGGATAAAAATATTAAAGTACATAATATAAACTTGAGTGTTAAAATTCCTTTTTAAAAAAATCCGTGTCAAAACATGCACGAATTGTTAACGACAGCAGCAGAATTAAGTTCCACATTATAGTATTATATGTTAAGATTCTAATAATAGTAGTAACATTGATGATGATAATAGTTTCTCAATAAAAATGTATTGACTATAACTAATGATAAATAATATTGCAATTTTTATTATGATTAAGATATTTTTCTAATAACAGTATGATGACATATTAAAATGATATATTGATGATATAACAATAGTAATAATATCTTCTCTCATCAATTTATCTCATCAGAAGCAACTTATAAAATAACTTGAGAAGTATTCTACTAAAGACATAGTTTCACACTAAAAAACATTTTACTACTAAAAAGTATAAGAAATAAGTATATATATTTTTAAGTAACTATTCTTATTTGTTGTATCTTTTTATTGCTATTTATGATTTAGCTAAAGGAACTTCCAGTGCAATTACTGATACTGGTGTTATTCAAAAGTCACGATTGAGCTTATTTGTATTTGTATTTCTATGTATGCACTTATTTACTCGTTAATTTGAATATTGTTTTTAAATTTATAGTTTTAGAAAACATATTTTTTTAATAGTTGTGATTATTTTTTATTGCATTCACATTCCTGTGGCTTGGGTCAAGTAAAATTCTTTTCTCTTTTTTACGCACCTATTTAGTCACTAAGTTGAGTGTTTTTAAAAGGTATAATTTTGGTTAACATATTTTTTAAATAGTTGTGTTTATTCTTTTTTATTGCATTCGCCTTCATGTTGCCTTAGGAATCCTAACAGTCGAAAAAAGTAGTCTTTTTTTATTGTTGCTACAACCTTATTTTTTTTACTCCGAAATACGAGCTTTAACAGACGTGGGCGCAATGTAGAGTATTTTATTAAAAGATGCTCCATATCAAAATGCTATGGAGAAATTAGTTTTTTTACGTGAATAAGAAAAAAATTAAGTATTAAAAACGTGCAATGATTTGCAGGTATATTCATAATTCTAAAATTTCTTATATTCTTTTCAGCTATTTTTAAAATCTTTTATAAAATATAAAAAAAAAAAAAATAGTCAAAACATTTCCTTTTGGACCACAAAACTTAAGAAACAAAATGTTAACTTGAAAAACATAATGTAAAGTTACACAATAAGTATTTACTTATAATATAACAACTTTCTAGTTAAAAGAAAATTATAAAGTTTTCTTAAAGTATTAGACCCCTTTAAAAAAATTTTATTCAAGAATCTTTTTACCGAAAATACAGTTATATTCTGAGAAACAACTAAATAAGAGAATTTTTAAAAATAAAAAACAAGTTTATTTGTTGTCATGGTTACCAAGTATACAGGCCGGCATCTCTTTTTTATATATTTAAACATCTTACTTCACCTCCGGAAAATATTAGGTTCAATTTTAATTATTATAGTTTTGATTTTAATTATTATTTTTAACTAAGTATGAATAATTATAACATACAATTTATTAGTTAATACTCATGGCCTACTATAATTACACGGCCTGATTTGTTGCATTTTCCGTAAAAAATTAAGAGGCCAGTTTTTTTACGGCTAACGTTTGAAAGCTTGAATTCTTCTGTTAGTATTGTGAAAGTTTTATACATATTTTATTAAAATTGGAAAAAATGACTGATTTTCTTGGTGTAGTTACATTATGTTATACTGGATTTTTCGCTAACTGATTGCCTGCTTCAGTTTATTCCAGTAAAACAGAATACTGAAATAAGCTTTCAGATAGCTATATATAAACATGGTATTTAAAATAACATTACATGTTGCAAAGACCATCTACAAATCTTTAGTGGAAATAAAATCAAAGGTTTGTTATATTGTTTTTATTATAATTGAATCAAACAGTATAAAAGAAATAGCTTTTTATTAGGAATTATTATTGGTTCTCTGTCTTTTTTTAAATTGTTTCACCTGATCTTTTCTTACTGAATCAGTTGTTTCTTTTTGCAAATTGTTATAAAAGATATTTATAACGATAAGAGATCTATATTTTATACCCAACTCTTGGTGATTGTCACAAGTAAAATCAACACTGCTGTAATAATTTTTAAAGATTTGTTCTGCAAAACTTTTAATTGAAAAAGAATAACTGCAATGTTTGATTAAAATAGGAGATATGACATCTAAAATACTAAAAAGATGACAAATATAATCAGACAAAGGTTGACTTGGACATATAAGTCCACCTCTGGATAATATTTTCAAGTATTCATTATTAAGAATATCTTGGTCTGTAGATACCATTTTTTGATTACAAGTATGACCTTCAAAATTTTTTTTTCAACTTTTTTGCGACATACCCTGCTATTGTAACAGCAACTTCCATCTTCAGAAAGCTGACACTCTAAAATCTCTGTAGACAACAAATCAATTTCTTGCATAATATTTTCTAAACTAGAATTATCAAAAGTCTGATAAATATTTTCTTCCCAGAAATTAATATCTTCCTTTAGAAGACTTCTTACTGCCAAAATTTTTTCACTATTGCATACTTCTAAAAGACTCACTAGCAATCTCCCACCACTCATTTGTCTATACTTACTAAAACGTAGCTCCAAAGGATCACTTTGTAACCTGGAAGTAAGAACATATGTATAGTCTTCTTCAAGCAAATCATCGATAAGAGATGCAGTTGCTCGTAATGTTGTAATAAGAGCAAGAGAAGTTTGTTTGGAAAATGTGAAATAATCACATTTTGACCAAATATCAATCCAATTTGCAATTTCTCTATAAAATGTGGACTTGCTATCACCCTTCACGGCAGCATTGCCAAGTTGATTGGATGTATTAAATTTCTGCTTTGAATTAAGTGTGATGAACAACTTATAAAACAATGATAAAAATTGTGCTGCATCGTTTCTTTCAGGAAAATAACTTAGCATCGCAGCTGTAGTTGTTTCATCAAATATTGCCAATGCAAGGTTGACATCTTGTTTGTTATTTCCAGGATGAGTGACCTGATAATTGATTTTTCTCGCTTTTTTTAAGTTGCCGTTTAATAACTGATCTTTTTCATAGATATTATGAAATAAACTCCATGCTATGTAACCAGCAGGAACTTCAACTTTGTCTTTAAACAAATCAAATGAAAAAGAAGGAAAAACATATTTTTTTGCATTTAACAAGTTATTTCTAACATTTTTTATTAAATGGATTATATTGAACAACAAGTATGTTTTTAATACTCCATTGTAAACTAGATGACATATAAATAACTTTCCATCTCCATTATATGCTTTATGAAACTCTGAAAATGCACTAACATTGGTAGAATGATTATCTGCAACAACAGCTCTTACTTTAAATCCAGATTGGTGCAATGAGATAATGCATTCATCAATTTCTTTTTTTAACCATGAACCTGTTATATACACTTCAGGTGATGATCTCACAACATAAGGAATAGATTTTTGAAGCCCAACAATCATAAAAACAACAATACCTTTATAAAGATTACTTTCTGAATTTTCACCAACATATTTCCCACTTTGATATTGGGCTGCTTTTTGCAAATACATTTCATCCACAAGAAGCACACAGTCACTTGATACACAATTTTTTTGTAACAAAACTTTTATAACCTTAAATGCATTTATATCACCACTTTGAATTTTTCTTAATAAACTAAAAGATGGTAAGGGTAATTGTTCTAACAACAACTTATATGACTGTGCTGAAGTGTGACGTAAAATTAATGCATAACGTATAACGGAAGCAGAATATGGAGGTCTGCCTTGTTGAGAATAGTATCTTATTTCATTTAGCTCTGTCAAAATTGAATTAAAAGCATTAGCTTTATTTCGAATATGAGCAGGAAAATTTTCTATCATACTACAGTTTGTTAATTTGCAATTATGACCACTGCGAAACCATTCAGGTAAAGAAAGATGATATCCTTTATACGACAATGAAACATTAAGATCTTTATTAACTGTTATTGACTCAAACACAGTTGGTATACCTGATATTTCATCAAAACAGAGTTTATAGAAAACAACACTATCAAAAAGTTTCTTAAATGTAAATCTTGGTGGGCAATGCTATTCTTTTAACGAATTAAGACTAATTATTTTATCAATATTTTGAAAATCACTGAACTCATCTTTTCCCAAGTATCTTAAAGTTGGATCTTTTGTAGGCAACTTTGGCACCCTTAAAGTTGATGAACTACTTTTTTTATCTGTGTGAATAGTTGGAACAGGTTGGAGATCCCATTTCATGGTGCATCTTTTCCGATATTTAATAAATTTATCCTCGAAATGATCAATATAAATAGCAGAGTATTTAGATGGAAGCCAATCTTTTCTATTGACAAAATATACCCATCGTTCTCGCAAACTGCTTTCTTCAGGAAAATGAAATGTAGACTTTTTTGGACCAGTAGAGTAACCAGTTTTACAGTTTGTGACAACACATTTGTTAACCATTTTTATAACTAAAAAAAATTTCTAAAACTACAATAATATTGAGATTTCTTACATTTATAATTGAAGTTATCTCCACTTGAATAACATTGCATAAAAAAAAGCAGTTCGACTGTATACAATATACCAAGTAGACTGTCTGTAAGTCTATTTTATTATTCCACTCTCTAATAGATTATAATGAAACAGACAATCAGTCAGAATATAATCAGAAATATATACTACATGAATATGAAAATATAAACCAAACTTTGATATAATAATTGTAATAATCACATTATTTTAATTATTAAATATTGTTAGTAGAAAATAAGCCGTAAAAAAACTGGCCTCTTAATTTTTTACGGAAAATGCAACAAATCAGGCCGTGTAATTATAGTAGGCCATGGTTAATACTTTAGAGAGAAAACAAAAAAGTAAGTGAAAATGATATTAGAAGATACTGATGCTATTAAATAGAGAACCAAAAATTAAATATTGAAAGGTTAAATTAAATAAAAAGCAGTAAAAAAATATTCGAATTATTGTATAAAAATTCAATGCAAATTTAAATTAGTCTAAGAACTAAAAGAAAATGCTCAATCTCTTGGAATCAAACTCAAATTGCTAGTTCTTGATGTCAGAACTCAATAGAAAAGTGCTTTGAAAATGTTGATAGACATAATCCCAGCTATAAAATAAGCTTTTAAATCATTTGAACATGGTTGGCCTAATTAACTAGAGACAAAAACTCCTGAGTTAGTAGCAACTCTTCAACCATGTAAAATGGCTATGTATGCCATGAGTGGCGATGATGCTGACTTAAACATTGCAAAAAGCGCATTAGAATTTTTGTTAGAGGTATTGCAAACGAAGAAAGGTTTTATTTGCGCTTATTTGATTAAAGAAATTGAAATAGAGATTCTTCAAAGATGTCTAATCTTACTTGTTAGTCTGCTCAAATATCTCAATAATCAAGGATAACCTAAAGAACCGAAAGTGTCCGCAATCTTAATCTCATCAAATTAAGAAATTATTAAAGCAGCAAAAAGACTCTGGCTTAAACATTTTTTTCACTACTTCCAGTAACGATGACGGTAATGATGTTGTGGAAACTGCATCTGAAGCTCATCAGACAGTCGAACAGACTCCCAATAATTTTAAGTTACGTCTTCTCGCTTTCTAAAAACGTCGAACAACATCAAAATTTGTTTAAAAGCAGAAAGACCTACCTAAAAAGAAAAGAGAAACCAATGCCCGACAATAAATCCAATTAACTGGACCCAAAAATATTGTCTCGTATGG